GGTGAAGTGGAATGAAATGGTGTAGAGAACTTTTGGGTGATGTAAAAAAGCATTTGAACATTAAAATTTGATATTAAATGGTGGCTAGCTGAGGAAAGATATGAACACTTATTGAAAACAGTTAGAATATTAAAATTCAACCAAGCAATTTTCAAAAGAAGTATTTTCTCATGTAATTTATGAATAATAAAAAGAAGAGAGAATTTCAGCTAATGACGTGAGAGTTAGCTCGATCTCCAAATAGACTAAAAGTATTGATTAAAGACTGTAGGGGGGGAGGGAGGGGGAGATCTTCTGGGGTCTTGCAAAAAAATCTTTTGGCTCTCTTTTCTGAATTTTTAGGGAGGGTTGTAGAAGAGAGACCCTGGGAAAGAGGTTAATGAACGAGAGTGTCTATCCCAATGTTCTTAGTCTCCAACAGCTTCTGGATCAAAATCTTGAATGATAAACCGCCAAATGCGATCGGGCCAACAAACAAAAATCTCAGCTTTGACAATGTAATATTTTCCATCCTCAGAAAAGTACAGAGTTACAGCATCCTCAGATCTGTCGTTATAGGCGTCGAGACCGCGGGAAAACTCTGCTTCAGTTTTGTCTTGCATGCTTATTTTGCTGTTGTAGAAAACAAACGACACTGCAAATTCAATAACCCTCTGGATATTGTTGAAATTCAGAGTTATGTACCCAGCGGTAGAGAAGCTGGGATAAGCAATCTTCAGGTGATGCATTGAGTAAGGTGAAATGTTTTGCACAAACTTGAGTTTGTTTTCTTGACTCCAGCCGATTTCACCCGAATCAATCTTTATCGGAATGTCAGCATCATTGATAAACTTAATGGAAAAGCGATTGCCAAAGTACTGGTAAAGAAACCAATTGCAATTCTCTACTGACCTCAAAGTCACTGTCTGTTGATTCACTTTCTTCGCAGAAGAGTTGATGGTTGATAAATCTGGCATTGGTGACAAACCCAAGCTGTGTCGAACGGTTTCTACCACGTGTTTATCCCGAATTCTTCGGCCCAAAGCCACAATTTTTGTAAGTTTTCCGCCCTCAATTCTCCCAAGAAATGTTAAAAATCTCTTTTCTGACAGAAAAGAGAGTTTCTCTCTAGCATCCTTACTTTGAAAAATCATTCTACGTTCCGCAATGGCTATGTCGTCTTCGTGCGCGATTTTCAAGTCTGTATATTTTGCTTTAGCAGCGACCAGAAGAGCCATATACAAAGAGTGGGCTTCACAGTACTTAACTATGGCAGTTACGAAATCTTCCACATTGGGATTTTCTTTCAGGTTGTTTGAAATATTGAAAGGAAGTGGCGACTCAAACCTGTCCTCAAGCTCACCCAAAAATTGCACGTAATCATTCCACAGATTAGGATCATCCAATTTCTCTCCTTCCTTCATTCGCTGCAACTGAAAAATTTGTTCTGATACGCGACGTTTGAGCCCTCTGTATTTCTGATCCAGTAAGCTTTTGTTAAAGCGAATCATTTCATCGTGAACAAAATTTTTTAGTTGATCGACCACACTTTGATCTGCATTACTTTCCATTAACAACCAGCCAACAACTCTCCAAAGAGTCTGAATAATAACCCTGTTTGGTTTACCAACGTCAACCAGGTTTTCAAGGCTTGAGACAATGTCAAGAACACCCCCTAAAATTTTCAAAGAATCTTTACTTCGAAATTTTGCAATGCTACTTTTTGTGGTTGTAAGAAATTTTGCGACTTCTTCAAAAGCTAATTTATCTGATTTGCCTTTGCAACTGTCTTTTTTTGTGTCTTTTTGTTCTTCCAACAGGACCCTTAGCTCATCAAATCTTTTTTGGGCCTCGGGAAAAACAGCTAACTTCGGGCGTAGATTATTAACCACTTCCTCGATCTCACGAATAACTTGACAATCGTTGCTGTCAGATTCCGTCTCTTGTGTCTACAACAAAAAAACAAAAAAAAATTCAAATATCTACCTAGCTAAGTTATTCATTAGTAAAAGTTTCGAAAAGAGAAAACTACTCCATCCCTCCCCTAGACACAGAATTCAGATATTGAATTTCTAGCAATCTGATTGGTCCGTTTATCTCTGTTACCACTTATTTTGCACCCACACTGTTAGTCTGTTTACGGTATTAATTTTTTTTTTTTAATGGTTTCAACCAATTCTTTTAAACACCTCAAAATAGTTTTTTTTTTTTGCATCGTTTTTGTCACATGTGTACTGCTGTATGCTAACTACACTTATTTAAATACTGGAAATTAATTTGTGAAACTTGAAAGCAAGAGGAAAGGGATTAAATAGGAACAGAGTACATGTTATGGAGGGTGGCGATGGGGTTAACCGATTGTCGTAACAAGGCTAGAACACTTAAACCGTTAGACGTAAAAATTGACAAATTTTAAGGTTAGTCGTATAAAATGTTGGCCATATAAAAATTGGTCAAAATTTTAACCGTGCGCCTAAAAAGGTTTTTAACCCATTGAGACCTTCTCAGACTGATTTGAAATTATAACCATTAGAAACCTGATATTGGTGGGAATATAGAGTCTCAGAGAGATCAGTTAAATAGTGGTGATTAGGAAGTAGTTTCTTACCAACTTTGATCCATTTTCTCCACACTCACTATTCTTCTGTGAGCATTTTTCGCTGGAATAGCCGCTGGCGTAGAGGCAAAGGACATTGCAAGCGACCAAATATAACGCAATTTGCAGAAAGATAATTCTAATCATTGCTTGAACTTCTGCAAAACAGGATTGAGTGAATTTAACGAAAGGAACTCAGTGTAATTTTTATTCGATTGCTCAGTGTGTATTTCTTAAGTAACCGGAAGTACTGAGTGAATATCACGCTCACCTAACCGAGGTCACGCGAAGTCCCGGGAAGAACCGAAGTTGTCTTCAAGGGCTGAATCAATTTCCATAACCTTGCTACGTTTTTCTTCAAATTTTCACCCGTGAAAATGTAAGAATTTTAAGGCCACTGACTTCTGAGTTTGTATATTGTTAATTGGAGTTTGTGGAGACCACAATTTTGCAAATGAATTTACTTCGAAACAAACATGTGGATGAACAAGTATATGTTTGTAATTGATCTAAATGACTCGCGACTGCGGTAGTTATGAATAATTTTTTGCGAAGCGACTTATCACACGTCTCTCGTTTTCCGTAGAAATAACGGTGCAAAACTGTTTGCCTTTCATGTAACTCTAAGTTCCTCGAAAAGAAACTGCATTAACTGTGGTTAAAGCTTTAAAATCAGTTAACCTTTCATCTTACTTTCCGAAGTGAATTACTGATAGCATCCCGCGGAACATTTCAATTCTCCGGACAACGTACTCACCTTAGAGAAGACCCTTCTTCCTCACATCAATCCATACTCTGTTCTTTTTTAGTCTTGAGTCACTTTATAAATTTTTCCTTACGTGTCAGTAGAATTTAACTGAATTACTTTAACGAATTTCCCGTGTCTGGGTGCTTCCTTATCAGCTTTCGGTTTTAAAAAGAAACGAGTAGTCCTGGTAATGAAATTCATGCTTACCCCATTCCCCCACTGAGCAAGAAAGTTGAAAATATAAATTTGCATTTTTAGCTGAGCATTTACGCGATATAGCGCGAATTTATGTCCTCGTTTTTGAAAAGTGATAACGCTATGCTGCAAATGGTTGTTGTTGTTGTAGCTAGCAACCTACAAAAATGCAAACATATGTGCTGAGAAATGTTTTCAAAGTTTGTGGAAGAGAGGGGATTCATCAACAGGTACCCTTAAGCTATTTGCATCAGCAAATAAAAACAATTTGTTAAAGAGTTACACTTCCATGGAATAATTCAACAACCCTTAATTTTACTTAGTTAACTTCAACAAGAATCTGGAGGAAAAAACGTTATTTAAACTATGAATGAACGGTACAAAAATGATAAACCTTCTAGTGGACCTTAGAGTAAATAAATGGATCTGAAAGAACTGTGTTAAGTCTTAAAGTTAACGTTATTACATAAAGGTAAAAGAAATTCCTAGTTTAACTGATATTTGCGAAACTTTATACCTAAGCGCTAATCTGATGGCTTGCCAAGCTTCTATGCATAAGATACGAATGAAATATTAAGAATATTTACTCAACACATTCTCATTTTTTACCACCAGTTGAATTAAAGTAACGTATTTTGCAAGAATTGATTTATCAAAATGTGTATTACAACTTAACTGATATTCGTAAAGGTATTTAGTATTTTTAAATGCTTTTACCGTTTAGTTCATCAGAATATAAAATCAGTTCATTTTCAGAGGGGAAAAATTAGTCAGAAAACATGGAGTCAAGACCACTTTAAAAAGATGCAGAATTAATTTAGAGAATTGTTAAATAGAGAGCTACAATAGCTTTGCGCAAAATATGGTGTCAGGATCCCTCCTTCTCGATAAGCAGTTTTGGATGGCTCAGCGGCGATGAAGCAGAAGTACCACATTAAAAATCTGTTTCTTTATCGTTCCGATCTAAATGATAGAAGCCGAGTGCGGTAGGCTTGTGAGAAAAAAGGTCCGGATTACTTTTGTACACTTTTGTGTCCGTCGTCCTCTAACATGAGTTCTATGGATGAACATTCCTCTCAGCTAGTCAGCCTTAACGTGGTTCTTGTTGCTTGCAGATTTCTCTTTCTCCTTGCTAACCTCAGAAGACGTTTTCACCATTTTCTTGAGAAAAGAGACATAGACAAATGACAGAACAACCACTGATCCAACAAACACGCCAACATCCACTGCAAATAACATGTTTTCCCCAATTGAAGTGTAACTTCTCAAAAGACCAACGTCTTCTTACGGGCAACCTTGACTCTGGCGTCTTATTTTCTTTTTCTAAAAGAACGCACTTCTATCCAGAAACGACGCTATTTTTTATGCTGAGCTGTTTTGAAAGAATGAAATGACGCATTATTTGGAAATGCCTGTGCTATAAAAACTTGATGACTCCTAACCGCAAAAACGTGACAACAGCCATGCATCTTTCTGCTAACAAATGATAGCTTGTTTTCCCCTTTTCGGGAAGAGTCGCCCATTTAGCGTTGCTAAATTAAAGACAGTCGTCGATTGCTGTATACACGATCTCTGTGAAACCACCCATCCTAAAGTCCTCTACCACTTTTACCGGCGTTTATTGATGACACTCCGTCTAACCTTGATCTATGCGAAAACACACTAGTCAGCGCACGCGTTCTATTTGAGGACGCGACGCCACAAATGCCAAAAAACTGGGTGACCAACGCAAAAATTGTTTCTTCATTCCTTTCTACTGCTTTCTGCCGTTTATGCGTAAAAATAAAAATTTTCGCATCAGTGGCGAATGTGAGTCTGTTTTTTTCCTATTTTTCTTAAGCCGATGATCATGATTTGAAGATTATGTCGAAAATCAATAGAATATGCATTTGTGTTTCCATAGTAAATCTTCTAACTTTCACGCAGCCGAACCTTTACATCTCCATGTGAAACTGTATTGAGACATAGATGTGAACTGGAGGAACAAATAACATTTAAGACCGAAAAAAAATATGGTTTTATCAGCATTTCTGCTGAAGTGAAAACAAGCTAAAAGGGTAAATCATTACAGCCAAAATTGTTTTGAATTAATAGCTTTTATCTCTATGCATGCAAATAAATACGAGTTTTTTGTTTTAAACCCCTGGAAGAAGTTGTTCATTATTAAAGACGAATATTGAAAACATTGATTTCAATTACTTTCTTTCGATAGAAATTTGTCGAATTTCTACGTTTTGTTATTTGTTTGCCTCTTTTATTTATTGTTTAGCATTTGGCTACAACCTGCAAATTATTGTTTATAAATGTGACAGCATGTAAACCAAAGTTTTGAGTAATGATATAAAGTGTGTACTTCAATTTGAATAGACCGTATAGAGAGCGCAGTTCCAAGGAGCACAGCCTCTCGTTATTTTCATCCGATGACAATTCATTCATAAGCACCAAAAGGTAACGCACAAAAATCTTACAATTCACGGGAATTAACTTAAAATTGCGCAAGTAACAGAAAACAATGAGAAGATACGACAATATCTGCACCTTGTTAAATTCTATCTCCACCGGAACAAGAAGAACGAACAAGAATGACAGAGATATTACGCAAGAGTGTTAATCGACCTCTATTTCAAACCGTTTTCAGTTCGATTAGACGAGAAAACAAGGCGTCGTTTCTGGCTCAAAAAGATTACTTTCGATGCAAGAAGTGTTGACTGCAGCATTTACAAGTTTGTGTCTGTTCATCACCTTTGCCTGTCAATGTTGGTCAGCGGATAAAAGCGCTCCCTCTGTTTTCCGGCGATATCGGACTTTTGAAGTCGCCCCTAGTTGTAAGATCCTTAATTCAAGTCGAGTCTCGATTATTAACCAATAATCGCGCATTATTGAAATCAATGTATCTATCCAATTGCATACTCCCTCTACTGTCAAAACTACAGCTGGAAATCCATGAGTACTAGTAGTTGCAGAATTCTAAGCCTTTAGTAGTACGAATGTCCCAAATCATCTTTTTCAACAGGCTGGAAAAATAACTCTGATTTCTCACGAAATTTGCTTCCACCAAAGTAGTACTTTACCACAAAAGCATTCACGACGGAAAATATTACCACGCCTGAGATAACGAGGCAGATTTCGAGCACAGGCATTATCGAACACACTTTATCACAGTAACGAAGCTGTTACTGGGATGAGACAAGACCGCACGCGTAAAATAGCAATACTCACCCTACCCAAGCCATTTCCCAATGAGTTCCTTTCGACCCCGGCCCTCCCCTCAAGAGAAGATTTTATCAGTAAATTACTTACTTTACTTTTTTATTTCATTAGCTTTGCCAACAATACATACAACATAGAACACGGATAAATTACAACAACAGTAACAGGCAGGCAACCACAAGAGCGATAACCAATTACTACAAATTGTGAGAGGGTTTGTGACAGAGAAAATTGACGTATTTCCATGCGGTAGCAGTTTTTGCATATGCTTTGCCTAATAAAAATACGAACTATAAATAATTACTATAATTTGCATTTGATAATGGTGACATGTCATCGCTGAATCGTTATGTTTTAATATCGCTAATTTCTATTCTGAAGTGTCAGTAACTAAAAAAAATGAAGAAGAAAAAAAGACAAAAATATGGTCTTCTGTTTCAGTGTCGACGGAAAAACAATCAAGACAATAGTTATAACCTAGTTTTTCTTTTTGTTTGGGGGGGGGAAGACTTTTGAGGAGAACACACGATTTTCAGGAGCAACGGAGGGGAGGATCAGTCGTTTCAAACAGAGTTTAAGAAGGAGGGGAGGGGGGGGGCGAGCATAGAAAATTGACTGCCACCTAACTGCTAATAAGCGAAGGATCAAAAGAATATTAAGGCCCGGCTAAGCGCACGCAACATTTCAACGCAAAGTCCTGCAAAGCTGTTGCACGCAACGAGTTGCACACGTTTGGTCACCCTGTGGCAACTTGTTGTAACATGTCGCAAGATGTCGGATGGTGTTGGATCAAGTTTGAAAATGATCAAATCTTTGTTGCAATATTTCTGCATGTTGCAAGATGTCGCGCGCGTTTGGCCACCTGTCTCAGAACACGATCCAACAATGTTGCGAGATGTTGCGTTAAAATGTTGCGTGCGTTTGACCCGGCCTTTAATTTACCGGAACCTTATGGGGCGATTAGGTAAACTTTATCGTGATTTTCTTTTACTGGTCCCTTACCAATATGTTCATGTACCATTTGCGGGTTAACTAGGAATTATTAAACGGATCCCTTGAGATAAAATCGAAAACCTTCACCACCGTCGATCCTCGTAGTGTGGATGGAGAACATTTTACCCGTTTTCAAGTGTGGACGAGAGACTTTTATTGCACTTCTCAAATTGCATTTTCAAACTTATTTAGCGCGTTGTGGACAGAGGATGAATGAGAAACAAAACCCTACCCGCTAATTAGCTCACATAAATATTAATTTATTCAAAAAGAAAGCAATTGCACACTCATCCAGAAAATGTTTAATGATCTGCTCTGCGGGAAGATCGCAAAACATTTCTGTTTCAAGGCGTTCATACCACCTGTTACAGGCGATGATAATGCAGGTCCTTGCGTCATAGTGAATTTCTAAGCACATGGTGAACAAGAAATATCCCGTGAGCTTCCAAGAGATGTCAAACACGCCAGTTATCATTCCGGCGGGTGATATGATATGAGTCTTGGGTGATATGGTAATGTCGAAGTGTGTTGTTCAAAGGCATGCTTGGCTGGTTAATCATCACTGTAACTGTGTTTGGATCAGGAGGTCTTGCTTACTGCTACTACAAACTGTTGAACTATTTCATTCGACTCAAGTTTGAAAGCGAGGATCCCTACGAAAACGAGCCTGAACCGCCGAGATCAAGACGATTTCGTGCGCATGTACGAGATTGCGCCGATAGCGATGAAGAAGATTGTTGCTTATTTCGTGATGAGATCAACAATGTTGACATGAAAATTCATCGAAGCTAAGACGATTTTTGGGCTAATATAGCGGTGGTGTGAATCGAGTGGAGCACGGAGTTAACTTGCAGCGAGATTTTGCTAAAAAAATAAGTACAACTGGATTAATTAAATGATGCTTGCATGTTGAATTGCAAGTTATTGTAAATCTTGAATGCAAGACATGCTGGTAAAGGAATTACGCAAGTTTATTGTTATCGGAACGCGAACATAATTGCAATAATGGAAGTTTCAGTGTTACGATGATGTGAATCGAGGCCATTTACATTCTTCAAAATATTCTTCAAATTTTTGTCGGTCAATCTCCTCCTCAAGTGAGATATGGACTTGTGAACAAAGCTGAACAGCGACCATACATGGAAGAGTTCGTACAATAGCATTTAATGCAAAATTTTACGGGAATAATTTAGTTTTGATTTAATTTATTAGCTTCGCCGACAGGGAGGGACCCCGCAACAGCTCGCGCCAACTACTGCGGGCCGTAGTACCCACCCATCCCACCCCAGGGGAGGACATCCACCACACAGTGATCTCGTGTGTGGGAAATTAACGTCTCCTACTCCAACCCTGTAGGAGACAGGACCTACGGTTTATTCGTCCTTATCCGAGATTTATTTTATTTTCTAGATATTTTATGTTTGATATTTTGTTGTGATCTACGTATTCTGTCTGATCATCTTAGTGATCTATCTCCAGAACGGGCGTAATTTTGTGTTTTCACACGACTGGAACAGAGGTAAACGCGAGGTGAACACTTTTCGTTCCCGGCGTGTGACTTACATTTCGCGTGTGCGTCTAACCGGCATGTTAGCGTTTTTGTTTGTTTTTTTTTAGCTAAGGCGGTGACCGGCGAAGCCGCGAGAGGCTTGAGACAGAAAATTATGCATGTTTTGCAGGTTAAAAAACTAAGTTATAATTTTAATTTCATTAATGGTCTTGACTTCATCGGATATAATTCATATTCATGGAAGCAGTAGACAATCGATACTTGAACTATTAGTTTAATGGAAATAAAAAAAGTTCTCTTACTTCTACGAAGCGTTTTCTATCAGTGGCCTTTCACTCCGTACTTACAAGCAAAATCAGTTTTGTCACTAGACTTCCAGCCATTATGATCTGGATACGACTTTTTTTGTCTAAACTGTGATCAAACTTCTTTACTTATCTCGGCACGAAATGATAGCCGCTTGAACCGGCTCGATTTTTCTCCAGCTAGGAAAATCTTAGCCACTGGAAAGTGCAATCTCAAGGTTTTTTAATAGCTGACTGTGAATATTTGTCTGTTTCACGTGCGTTTTCACTCTCTATTAATTTTTTTCAGAACTTTATTTAATTTTGTTTTCCTGGTACAGTTCATTTGTCGAGCCGGGCGAGTCAGTCTCACGATCCTTACCGAAGACCTCCGAAAGTGTACGGATATTTTCCGACGCCCGAATAGTCAGAGGGATTGTGGGATGCACGTGTTTTGTCCTCTTCAAGAGATGTTTTGACCAACATAAAGAAGGTAGGACTAAACTTTTTCCAATCTCTTGGGATCTACAGTTCTTTTCTTAATGCCAGCTTCATTATCCCAAAGACAGAGCGACGATTACCAATGAATTATGAACGGAGCAGTCAAGTTACCAAACAACGGAGAGTTAGAATCTCTCTCCAGCTTCAATCCGAAGGAAGAGTTTGAGAAGCGGCGATGGGTTCTTATAACTAATGTTCCCGATGGCGTCGATTCAGAGGTAGGATACCAAGATTGTTCATCATGACAGTAAAATCTTAGAATCAGAAGCTGGAAGTTGTTAAAAAAGACACTAAAACAGCGATCGCGACAGCCATCTTCGCGAATACGGGTTATTTCACCAGCTGACGGTTAAATGTCTCGTTTGGTAGTTATTAAAAATGATTGCTGATGATAGGGACAATTAAGCCTCTTTTACCTTCTACGCTTAGAGTGAGTTTCAAGAAGTTTTGTGTCGATCGAACTGCTGAGTTCGTATACATTGTAGTGGGTGGAGGGGGGGAAGGGTATAGTTGTAAATGTATTGTATATTCAAAAAAAGGGCGAATGTTCATCTGATTATACCATTTGAAGGGTAAAACTTTAAAGTTTCTGAATGTTTTTGACTTTCTCTACTCTATCTACCCCCCCCCCCCCAACCAAAAATTGAGATGAGCAGAAAAATTGACTTGTGACTGGTATATTATTTGTTTTGCAGGATTTGAAGACAAATTTCCTTCAAGGCTTTGATGTTATTGATCTTAGAATAGAAAAGAATTCAGGTGAGAGATTTATGCAAAAGTATAACTATATTTAGTAAACAGAATAAGTGAGATGATAAGTTTTGAGCTCTGTAAAGAAATATGGAGAGAGTCTCCGTGAAGAGCTGAACCTCAAACCTTTGTTTCTGCAGTTCGGTGCTCTCCAGCTAAACCACTGAGACTCTATAGTAAGCATGGCCCATTCTGAAGTTCACATATGACCTTGCTCACCATGGATTCTCTTTGGCTCAGTGGTAGAGCATTAGAGTGCAAAATCCGGACATCTGAGGTTTGATTCCTCATTAGAAGGTGTGTTTCACTGACTGATATTTGGTAATCCAGGTGTTTCAAGAAGCAGAAAAGTTTAAGCTTGGTCACAGTATCTAGTGTAGATAGTTTTTGTGATTTGATGAAAATGAAGTTAACGAGTTATTTTTCCCTTTGTAGCTCATGTACTTCTTGGAGCACCTGAGCAGGCTGTCAATGCCATTAACTCGCTCAACAGGCAAAGTTTTCATGGCTGTGTTCTTGGTGTATCTCTTGCCCCACCAGACAGTCTGTTATTTGTTGGTAATTTGCCATTTGAATTTAAAGAGGAACAGTTTAGGAGCCTAATGAGCCCATTTGGACCAATAGAAAGAATATTCCTTGTGCGGAGTATGTTTACAGGAGAAAGTAAAGGTTATGGTTTTGTGGATTACGTCACACGGGAGTCAGCTTGTCTTGCCAAACAACAGTTGATGAGTACGGGTTCAAAATATGTTGGAGGACGAATATTAAGGGTGAACTTTGCTGAACCAAATCTGCTAACTTATGAAGATTTACATTCCAAGACTTTGTTTGTGGACAGGCTTCCTAGAGACTTCACTAATGGAGAGGTGTTGAAAGAGTTATTCAGTCAGAGTGGATCAGTAACATTCGCACAGGTAAAATCTACATTGAAATGCAAGTACCTAGTTACCATATTTATTTGATCAAGTGACCAAACTGAAATAAGAACCTGTCCTGTAGGTAAAAGAAAATAGTTTACTAAGCACCCAGTCTGGAATAAGCCATCATAGGTTAACATGTTAGTGTCATAATGAAAGAAATCTGGTGAGACAAGTACTAGGGTTGAAGAAAAGAAATAAAACAAAAAAGACTAAACGTTAAAAAAACCACAAAGGATTATTGATACAGATTTTTGTGCTAAAGGTTGCGGTAAATCCTCAAACTGGCATATCTCGGGGATTTGCTTTTGTGGATTATGGGACAGCAGAAGAGGCAGAACGTGGACAGAAGGCTCACAATGGGGCACTGTTAGAAGGGACAAATATTCGTGTGGCATATGGAACTCCAGGAAGAACTGGTGCAAGCATTCTTGGAGGACAAAACACTAATGTGGTAAGGCCAATTTTTTAACATGTTAGTTTATATTTTTGGTATACCTTTCTAATATATGGTATTAGTATAATTTCAGAGCTGAGCAAAGAGTTTCCAGCAATCTGATTGGTTGAGCAGCTCCTTATATGATGATGCTATATAAACCGTTCCATGCGGTTTACCTAAAATTTTAAAATAAAATGTTAATAAATGTTATGATTTTAGAAATTTCTCTGTTGTTCAGCTCTGAAATTGTACTAAAACAATTATTCGCCTCAGGCTCGGTGAATATTATCGAATAATCCCGTTGACTTCGTCTCGGGAATTATTTGATGATATTCACCTCGCCTTCGGCAAATAATTGCTAATTATAGGTATGGTTAACTCAGTTGTTAAGCCTTACAGCCCTCAGTTGCATGAGGTCATGAGAAGAAAGCACCCTTGGACAGGATGTCAGCTTATCATTGGATTACCCTTCAATGCTTCGTAAGGTTTCCCTTACAGGCTGCTGTAATGCATTTTGCTTTTGTTGAGAGAGGCACTGGGAGAGTGAAGTGTCTTCCATAAGAACAATACACAAACACCCAGCCACATCTCACACATGGACCGCTGTTCAGCATTCTAACCACATTTACAAGGTCACCATTTTTCTTGCTCTTTCTTTAATGTCCGAGGTACTAATTTAGTGTGCTTGTTTTGTCACAGGGAGGTCAGTCATCATTTGGCCCTCGTCCAAGAGGTCCTGCTCCTCATGTACCTCAAGGCCTTGACATGATGGCTGTCAGGGGCCCCCGTCCCCTCATGGCCCCACGTCCACTGATGGGTTCAGAGCCTTGGCAACAGGTGCCACGAGGACATCCTGGAAGACCACCAAGGCCTCTCAGACCTGGTCTTACAGTAAGTGTTTCATTTAAAATGTCACTAAGGCTGATAACAGGAAAAGCTTTTATTTTTTGCTACAGTGGTAGGACAGAATTTAGCATTTAATTCATTTGGTAAAAGATGGATGATGTATGTATGGAGTGTTCTGTCTTTGCAGGGTCCAAGGTTCACAGGAGGTAGGCCCAGGGGAGCTGCACTGGGGGGTGCAAGGGGAGCCCCTTTTGGTCATGCACCTAGACCCCTCATGGGCCAGCCCCCTGGAGCAAGGCCCATGATAAGACATGCAGCAGGTAAAGAAAATGAATCAAATTCAATTTGTTGTGTTTTTTTTTGCCACATTTGCAGTTTTTTTTTTTGTAGTATAAATTGTTTTTTTAATCAAATGATCAAGTTATGTTTCTATTGACCAGGTCCAAGGGGCTTTGCTGGTATGGGTGTGGGAGGTCCACCAGGGGCGAGACCTATGGGACCCCGAGGAATGCCCATGCAACCCCGTCCTTTAATGGACTTTGGGGAGCAGCCTGATGGGACAGTTTTGCCTCCAGAACAGATGCAGGTACAGTTTATAAGTATAATACAGATAAGTATAATACAGCTCTCAGCTGATTCATTTGCCAGTCAGAGTATTTCAGTATTCAGTATGATCAAGCAGTCTCATTTTTGGCCTGAGGGTAGTCCTGAGAAGGAATGTTTTGGGGTTTAGTGACTGATGTTTTCTTCTCATCAGAGTTGAGTGAAAAGTTGTTTTGGAAGTCAGGTTTGTGTAAACTGTTTGGCAATTTTTGTAAGTGGGTCATGATTGGTCAGTTTCAATGCATTGGTAATGTTAGGTTGTTTCATTCAGTTGGATTTGTTGTGAGTTATTCACGACATTCAAACCTTTTTTTCTTTTTTTTTTTTCCTTTGAAGTAGTTGTTAGTCAGTTTTTAGGCAACTGAATTGTAGAGTAGCTCACCTTTAGCTTAGGCTATATCTTTATTTCAAAAGTTTAGTTAACACTATGGCATTGAAAGAGAAAGTTCAATTATGCCTTATTTATTTATTTATTTATCAGCCAGGGCCAGTGGGTCATGACCCTTCCCAACAACATATGAGTGAGACATCCATCCCGGCCCTGATGGGTGAGCCTGTAGGAGGGGGGGTCATTCCCTCTGCTGTCGACCAAGGAGTGTTTGGTCCAATGGGAGTACAGCCAGCGCTGCAGCAACAGGAAATGTTAGTTCCTGCTCCACCCCACCAGCAGCAAGGAATGTTAGTCCCATCGCAGCTGCAGGGTCCAAGATCATCTGTGCCCCAGTTGGTTAGTTGGATTTAACCCATTAATGGCCGCAGCTTTTGTGGAAAACTGTGTTTTGAAGCTAGTCCAGCAGATTTGGGGTCACTGTTGGGGTTTTAAAGGCTCGAACTTACCAAAAACCACTTGACAGCTCGTGCACTCGACGGCCTTTCGATCCAAATGCAAAATGGCGGCCTGAAAATCTCGGGCACGCGCAGAGAGCAAAATTTCGACATAGTTTTTGGGTTGAAAAGTCACGCCCCACTTACGACTTCTACTTTTCTCTCTTTCTCCTGCCCTTTTTTTCCCCTCTCCTTGCCTAAAGTTTCTCCTCACTTGCTGGAAATTGAGTAGGCTTCATTTTGGTGTAGAGATTTTTCAGAAACTACTCATTATTTTCAAAGCACATGCTCGGAAAGGTAGGTGGGTAGTGAAACACGATCTTCGTGCAGATTTTCCAGTCAAAGTGACACGGTTTTTTGGCTATTTCTCCAATCTCCTCCACTCAATTGCGCTCATTCTGGTATCGTCTGCAAGATATTTTCAACCCGTTCAAGTACATGCTCGAATTCGTGCTCCAGAGTTAAAATTGATGACGTCACAGGGCGTAGAAAGGGTGTGGGTCCCCATGGGCGCATACGGGCGCACTGGACGTTAATGGGTTAAT